TCAGTATTTGCGGCGGAAAGAGTTCTCGACACTTTTCGACGCTGAAGATGTCAGTAACCAAGTCAACCTCGGACACGGTCGTACATATTTCCACACACTTGGCGAGTGCAAAGTAGTCCGTATTTTGTACGGCCAATTGGTCGTACAGTTTCTGGACGTACAGTTTTTGTACGGACAGATCCGTCCCGTCGACTTGTTCCAGCTCGGGCTTATGGATGGCATCGGCGATACGATGCAACATGGTGAAACTTGACTGATGCAGTAGGAGTTGCTGCTTTTCGGCAGCTGTGCTCGAAATGACAATAAACGCATGTTGCAGCGTTTCCTTAAGTACATCTCGCCGTTCCACGCATTGGTCGTCGAACTCGCGCTCGAACATGTCCGGGTAGATCTCTAGTATCACCACTGCAAAGTACAAGCCGCGGATGTCCGGATTGTCTCGAATAATGTCGAAAAGCAGCACGCGAGCGCGCGTTAACTGCCGCGTCGACCGACACAAATGTGTATGAAGCGCGCAAATATGCGCTAAAAACACCTTGTCGTGGCTCACGTTAACGTGTTGTGCTGTACCGTGTACTTGCGTCATGTTGGAGGATAAAAAGCCGCCAAAGTGTGCGCGGTTCTCGACCAAAAAGCCTCGGAGATGTAGCAAACAGTCGTCAACATTTGACAATTTCAGGGTGTCGCCTTGACGCAAGAGTCTTAGGAGAACTTCATGGACCAGTCCACTCAGCCCCAGCTTGCTCTCTTGCAGTAAACGCCGCGATCTTGGGGTCCGAAAGACCCCGAGAGCGCCACGAACAACGTCGATCGGGGGTATTTGCAACGCTCGAAAAGAGTCAGCTAGAATCTGACATAGGGTCATCTGAATATAACGTTATTGACCGTTAGAATGAGTGTATCATACACCTTAGAAACACATTTTTTTACGTACCACATGCGCGAGAGTATCCAGGAATCTGGAGCTCTGGCTTACCAAGACGGTGATGGTGCGTCGTGCATACTTGCTGTCAGCTTGTTCGTTTTTGTTTAAAACGATGGCTTGTGTAAATAACGCGAGCGACTTTTTCATCCTCCGCTCGTCCTTGGACTCCTTTGCTGGTTTCTTTATCTTGGCTTGAGTCGAAATTTCCTCGCGTTTTGCTTTCTTTTGAGCGCTAGATTGAGCCGCACTTAGCGCTGCTTCATCAGCTTTCCGGGATCTCTTTGGAGACGTGTCTTTCGGTACAGATGGAGGCTCAGAAACCTGTACATTCCTTACCAATTCACCACGTTCGGTTGCTCTTTCTGGCGGCTGCATTATGGTGTCAGGCACAGGTTTATCCTGTTCGATTAAGGCCGCTGGCTTGGACACGGGAATACTGGAGTTGTCATCGTTAGTAGAAGAGGAGTTTGCGCCTTGTACCACCACCGTATCATCGACTGTCGTGGTAGGTGGAGGTCGTCTGAAATGCTCTTTTGGACCGGCTTTGGCTGCAGCTAGCAGCACTCGTGTCCTCCTTGTGTTCGTTGCTGACAGCTGC